AAATTAGAACTTATACTCTAGGTGTCTCCTACAAATTGTTCTTTCCGCACAGAATGTGCTTATCTTTGGTGTGACAGGTTTTTTTTTTTAAATGTGCAAGATGATGCTGATATACTATAATGTTATTTTGGCAGAAAGCTAAAATACAGAACAAAGAAAATGCATGAGGACAGAAGAAAAAACACATTACTGATTTTGATGATACGGCTTAGTATAATAACCTGTTGGAATAACTGATGTTGTTATTCTGAAATATTTTTTTATGAAGAAGGGAGAAAAACTAAATTCAAATCCATCTGCACGGATCATATTTCCTAGGGGATTATCATGTTGCACCAGACTACCAAATAACTAATAAAACTAATAAAATCACAAAAAGGAGGTGAAATTCTAATTGAGACAAAGAAGTATTGTTCAAGGCACAAAGATTATAAACCACAGACTTCTTAATAGCTAAGGATGTAGCATCAACCTTCCACGGACTTTTATGATTGGCAAAATCCAATCTTTTCCGTCAGTTTAATTTCTGCCATGTCTTCCTTTTTGGTCTCTCATTCTGTTCCATTCTGGCACTCTTCTGCTCTCTTTTCCCCACCTATACCCACACTTAGACTTGCTACCATGTGTTTACCCAGGTTTTTTCTCAAAACCTACATATGTTGGGGAATAAAAGCGGATGCTGGGTTTTTTTTTTTAACAGATCTTAAAAAGATCTGTAAAAAAGATGGATAGAATATTTGCATTCATACCGGGCTGTGCTCAGACTTTACTAGAGGCCAGGCTGAGTTTTCAAAGCCAAAAGAACGAACTTCAAGGGGAGGCAGATATGCTATCAATAGATTTTATTTTTATCACCCTTTCATTCAATCATATCAGATTCTCAGAGACTGCTTGGACAAGACCTGGTAGTTTTCTTGGCAAGGTTTTTTTTTTTAGAAGTAGTTTGTGTTGTGGCCCGGCAGGAGCCGTTGGAGCTGCCACCAGACTCCAACAGGGAGGGGCCCTATGAGTCAGCTCTGGAGGATGTGGAGGGCCCTGCACACGGTTCCAACTCCAAGCAGGGCACAGAGAGGCTTGTTGGCCACCAAGAGGTGCCTGAGCCTTGGACCAGTGGGGAGGAGACAAGGGAGAGTGAGCCGGACGTCAGCAGTGGGGAGGAGCCAAGGGAGTTGTTCCTAGATGCCTGGCACCAG